TGTTTCCTGTGAAATACCTCAGGTGCCAAACACAACCTCAGTGCAGCCTGTGGAAATGGAGTCTCCCAAAGGGGATGCTGACTGTGCATAAAAGTGGGCTCTGTTTTCCAAGGCACCTGCCAGAACCTTGCTGACATTTTCAGCATAGGAAAATATTTGGCACTGGACAGCTGTCCAAAAACGTTCACCCTTGTAGGTAAAAAAATGTTCCCCTTTTAAAAACATATTTATATAATTTTTAGGCCTACACACATGTGAAAGGCTTCATTTTTCCCCCCACTGTGAACTTCAGGGAATTTACCTCCTTGGTTCTTCCTATTTCCTCTATCACTCCATACTGTGAACACATCCAGCTCTTCTTTTTAGTCTGTCTTTCCCAGCAACCTGAGTTGCAGGATGGTTCATTGCTGTTACTCTTTCTTCCAGGAATTAGAAGTCGGAGTCCAGCATTTATTTATTATTTTTAGGTTTCTCTAAGAAGGTCACCTTGTTGAATGCTTAATATGTTTGGATTGAACACCTCCTCCCTTAGCAGCATTGCAAGTTATTCCTCTTCCACCTTCCCCTCCCATAAAAGTGATGAGGACAGGATTATACCTGCAAGCTATGAGGCATGCCACTTTGTACCTTTCTGACAGATGGTTTCTCCATCTCATGATGTGGCTTATGTTTCAGTGTGAAATCACTGAGCAGCCCGTTTGCTTGGTAAGTTGAAATTTTAGCAAAGAGGAGGGTGGTGTTTCAACTATTGCTCATAGGAGGAGTTTATATGAGTGACTGGCCCTGTGTGTCACCTTCGTGTCCTGCACAGGGTGCTGGCTTTGGCAAAGGTGGGGATGCATCATTCATTCATGACAGCAAACAACAATCCCTTGCAGTTGCAAATGCCAGGCAGAATCTTGTGGCAGTAGCTCTGAAGTGTTCAGCTTCACATGGCTTTGCCCTTCCCCAGTCATCACCTTGCTTTCCTTTTTCTTTCAAATCCCATTGATGCCTTAAGTTTGAGCTTTCATATTTTCCAGATTTTGTTCTGCATTAGCACATAACTCTGAACTTCATATAAAGTGTTGGCAAGTTCTCCTCACAGCTCTGTCTCACAAAACAATCCTTTTCCAGCCCCAGAACCAAGGACACCACTGCAGCTTCAGCCCCAAAAAGTGCAAACAACAGGGAATGGAGGAGAGCAAACTGGGAGGATGGGACTGCACAGCCTGGAGCTGCAACTGAACAGTTAACCCCAATATGGAAATGGACCAAAACTTATAAAAGTGTGAAAACTTGTTGCTCAGAGTCCACCTTGGGTGTAGCCCTGCCCAGGCCTTTGCACTGCCCAAGGTGCATCCTTTGAAAGGCTTTTGATAAATCCCTACTGTATTCTTTTAAATTTGCCCAGCCCCTGTTCCAGGCAGCCTCTTTAGGCATCACCAGGTAAAGGGCTTTGTAATGTCTTTCCATCTAGGTCTCTTCCTTCAGTACTTTGGATTTTCCATAAAGACTACTGAATAGATCATATGACTGTTACATGGAGAATATATTGGTAATGGCCAGGTCTTCTATAAACCCTGGATTATTTACAGATCATCTGTTGCTTCTTCTATTTTGTACCTTGTTATAATACACAGAACCACAGAAAGCTTTGGTTTGGAAGGGACCTCAAAGACCATCTTGTTTCAGCCCCCTGCCATGGGCAGGGACACCTTGCACCAGACCAAAGCCCCATCCAACCTGGCCTTGGACACTTCCAGGAATGGGGCATCCACAACTTCTCTCACACAGAATAATTTTTTCCTATTATCTAATCTAAACCTTGTCCTACTTGTAAGTAGAAGTAAAATGCAGTATTCAAATTCCCCTAAATACACTGTTTTTCACAAGTAGAAATTATCAGATTTAAAGTAATCTTGGAAGGGATTTGTGTTTTGTTCTTTACTATACTTGATTGGTGATGGCAATAGATAGTGTACAGGAAGAAACTCTGATAAAAGACCTTATTGTCCTTTATTTCCTGCACAGTTTCAACAAAAGAGAGCTTTTCATTTTGTTATTTAGCAGCCAATCAGAGCCCATGACTGATGAATTCCCACTGCCTATCGTTATGGAATCCAAGTCTTCATCCAGCATAAAGTGCAGCCTATTTTAACAAATTCATTGAGTTACAAATGGGAAGGGGATACTAGCAAGGTCTTGAACTGTGCTGGCAGGATACGCTCCTTCACTTTATTTTATTTAAAAAAAAAATACAGATAGGATTTAACTAGCTGCTTCTGAGGGAAAATATAGCCTATGTTCCAGAGAGAAATAAATGTGAAGTGTTAGACCATGGGTAAACTAATATGCAATTACTTCAGTGCATCATAATTGGAGAGTAAAGTCAGTCACCTTGAGAACATACTTGGGTATTTCCTAAAATACCTCTCCAAAATAACTTAGGGTACTGTGCTCTTGAATATGTGTGTGGAAACAGTGTTGAAAAAATATAAGATAAATTTAAGAACCATATTCTCCCAAAACTCTAGAAATTTTGTTTTCCATTCTCAAGCTCTATGGCCTGAAAGAAAAGTAAAACAGTAAGGTTCAGGTATATTGTAAAATTGAGCAGCACCATTTCCTTAATATTCATCAAAATATGACTCAAAATGTTTGCAAATGGTGAGCAGTGTAACCCACACCACCAGCAGCACCAGTCTCAACCTGTCATCCCTAGGAAGGAACAAATAACAAGAGCATGATAGTTGTTTTTTAAAGGGTTTGGACATTGGTCTAGAATACACAGATTGGAAGCCAAATCTGAAGTGAAACCAATGCAATCATTGGACAAAATGAAATTTTCTTTCAAAGAGGGAGCTGGAAAATGGATGTGCAAAGGGGCTATTTATAGAAGAAATCCCACTCCTTAGACTTGATTAGAGATAGGCTGTGGTTTAAATAAGTGAGATGAACTAGCTTTACATATGAAATTTTAAATTATTTTTAAGCTGTTTCACAAACTGGCCTTTTCTCCTTTTTTTTTCTTTTTTTTTTTTTTTTTTTTTTTTTTTTGGTTGAAAACAAAATCAATTCTTTCAAAATGGTGCAGGGAAGAGTGTGTGGGAGCAAGATTTACTGAATAAAGGCTTCCTTTAATTTATTCACTAAAGATTCCTGGCAGGTAAAGCTCATTTGAAGGGAACACTTTTTTTCCCCCCCATGATCCTCTAAATTCCCATCTGTACTCAGACATTTCTATTTACACTGTTACATTCTTCAGGAGCAACACTTCTCAGATGTAAAACGCTGAAGGAGTTGTGCACGAACTTTGCTGAAAAATGTCTCTGTGCAGAAAGTTTCCTGAAAATGACAGTGGTGCTCACCACAACAGCCTCATATAATCAGATTCCCAGGGTACCACACAGGCTGACCAAGGAGGCTGCTTCAGCAGCTAAGGAGGCAGGGCTCTGTTCAGGAAGTTGTAACAGGTCTTAAAAGGTCCTCACCTTGTTCCCTGATCTCCCAAGCTCATGGTAGCTAACATACTTGTAGTAAAGATATTTTATCTCTGGAATAAATATGCCACAAATGAAACAAGCAAGGAGGAGAGCTCATGGCAAGAGACGTGCCCAGTAAGTGCAGGCAATAAAAGTTACTTGAAGTTGCTTAAGTGGCTTTAAAATAATCACTACACCAAACCCTACCTTGTACCCTTCTATGTACTGGTGTTTTTCATACTTTAAAAGCTTCACAGATGTCTTGTCCGGTTCTTGAGAGTATTCAAACAATTCTGGATTTGCCAGGTTTAAACCTGTATTTACTCTTCGTTCATCTTGGACCTAACAAACATTTTCAGTCCATGATCTATGCCATGACCTGAATTTGCAGAGTTTTTATGTGATCACTTCAGTGCTGCAGTGGAGTTTCTTTCTTACAGGTCTCCAGTTGCCTTCACAGCCCAGCAAATCTAAGTGGTAGTTGGCATCCAAAGTCCACAGGATGAAATGTTTTGCCATGTCCATAAAGGAGTGGTAAATTTTTTGTCACTATGCTAACAGCAGAATTACAGCAGGGCACTACATTTACAACAGTTAATTTTGTGATATTTTCTGCAAGACACTAAAATTGTTCTGGAATAGGAAACCTATATAACTTCCAGGCATTGATTTTGACTGCTTGGATGGTAGCAAATGCAGGTTGTCAAGATTTCAAACTCTATGTATTGTCAGTGTTCTTCTGTTGCAGTTTCTGAAATCCCCAAAGGTAAGAAGCTGTCATTGTTTTTAGGACCTGCAGGGTGTAAGACAGTGAATTTTCCAGTCCTTGTTGGGAATTGTCAGTAGATGCTGAGATGTGTTCTTCCAGGATCCTCAGTAGATTAACAAATGATTAAACAAATTTTCTTTATGGAAGATTTATACCAGTGTGGGAAATCCCTGGGCTTTAAACACATGAAATAGGGTGTCTGGGAATGAACAAAGGGCTAGAATAGGTGCATGAAAATCTGGCAGTGAAGAGTGGACAGCACAATGGTGCTTTGTAGGAAGCACCAAAGTACTTGAAGACATTAATCCTGATGTATTCCAAGGCAAATGCAGAAATCACACTGGTGATGGATGTTTTTGCAAAACTCTCTATGCAGACATACAGGAGCAATGCAGCATTAGGGTTCACAGCCACAAGCCTAGGGAACTTCTGCAGTAAATTCCAAGCCAGACAGCAAAGAGGAACCATGATACACGGACTGCCTTGCTGTCCTTGAGTTGAGTTAGGTATTTGCTTGTTTACAAGCACTGAAGAAACCTTGTGGTGTCTGACTCCTGTTTGTGTTTCTGGGAAGCAGATCCCTCACATGCTAAAGCAGCAAGTCTTCCTTCAAAGATCAGTTTTTTGCCTGCCATAGAATTCCAGAGACTGTAATTGCAGATAATGTAACTCAATTTTCCTGTCAGGGATCTGCCATTTGTAGTACCAGCAGAACCAGAGTGTGTCACATCCCTGCCACGTTCCAGCCAAAGCAGGAGCAGCTGTCAGGGTTGCCAAGCATCCTGGGGTAAAAGAGAAGATATTTTTGTGCATTATTTGGTGATCAGCAAGCCTTCAGGATTGTTCTGTGTCACGCCAGGCATGGATACTGGGGTGCACAAATGCTGCAACTCAGTCGAGGTCGAAAAGCACTCCATCTGCTGTGGCCTAATTTGTAACAGAGAACTGTAAAACCCAAAGTAGATATCCCTCCTCCAGTGAAAAGGTCTGCTGTGCTCACTATGGTATGTCCAATACCACAGCAGCAGCAGAGAACTTACTTGAATAAAAGTGGACATAATTTATAATCAGTCAGGCTCTCAAAATTAAAATTACACACAAACTCAAACCCAAGGCTGTTACATTTAAGGATGTTGTATTTGTTCTAATTTGTGCATTCAGCAAATTAGGCCTTTGGCTTTTTTCCTCCATTTGCAGTAAAATATTGCCTTCTTGCAATGAGGGCCTAGGAAAAAAGGCAAAGTGTGAAATTCTGGGGAGCTACTGAACTTCCAATGCCCAGGACTAAGCAGAACACCATCATTAAAGCAAGCAGAAATGGCAATGAGATTTCTGTTTTAAAAGCTAGCATCAAGACACCTGCTGTTACTGAATAACATGTATCAAAGATTTTTTTTACCAAATAAAGGTCATCCTTTCTCTTCAATTGACCTTGTATTTGTAAAAGCAAAATTGGCTTGACTCAATCAAGACTGGCTTTTCACCCCTCTATGCATTAAGGAATTTAACATATATGCAGAGATGAATGGCATTTCCTCAATTTGCAGAAATCCAATGGCCATTTGTGACCCCCTTTTAGTTTGATTCAGGTTAGAGTGATGAGTTGTTGAATCTATCCTTGAGTACCCCTGGTGCTTATCTATCACAGAGCTATTTAAGGCAGAGACATCTTCACCTGCAGCTACCTGGAAAGAGAATCTCCAGTTTCCTATTCCTCTTCCGTCATACACAGCAATTTTATTCTGAATGAAGATTAAAATCAACTTAGAGGAACCTGGGAATTATATTTCAATGCATGCAGGTGCAGTGGCTCTTAAATAGAACTAATAATGCTGTGATGAGTACCTTGTAATTTCTAGAGATGGCACAGTTCATTTGATACAATTAATATGCCATGTAACACAGAAAGAAGCAGTGCCCAGGATATAGAAGTTGTTACATGCTGAGGGGAGGGAAAATTGGAACAGATTAATCAGAGAATCTGAACAATTAAGGTCATAAAGACTTGTTAAAGTTGTTTAATCTGACCTCCTGCTCAATGCAAGGCCATCTTGATCAGTATTTCAGGTCTGTATTTAAGTTTAGAAAATCTGCATCTCCTCTGCACTTTTTCCAGTTCTGCACCAGCCTCAGAAGAAGATGATTTTTTTTTTCTTATTTGGTCCAGTTAGAATTTCTTTGCAAGCAATTTCGTTGCTTCTAGACCTTTTCCTGTGCATCTCTGGGAGGAGTCTGGCTCCCTTTTATTTCTAAGCTCCCTGCAGGACCCCCCAGAGCCATTTTTCTGGGGCTGAACCTCAGTGTTTCCTCGCAGGGCAGCTACTGCAGACCCTGGCTGTCACAGTGGCTCTCTGCTGATGCTTTTCCTGCCTGTTGGTGTCCAAAACTACTCTCACAAATACCAAGCTGAGGGGAATGACCACCTCCTTTGACCTGCTCATGACGTAGTTGCCCTGTGCTGGCAGCCGATTCATTCCTGCTTGACTGTGAAGCCTGGGAGGGCAATATGGATAAATACCAGGTTTATGGAGGCAAGCAGATGAAAATGATTGTTCTTGTGGGAAATTATGAGCAGCACATCTCATCCAGGGAATTGACAATTGTGTAAGACTTGGAGGATAAAAATAGAAGTGGCATACAGAGTAAGAAGTGAGTGAGAACCAGCAAGACCTCTTAGGGCTTAGAGAATTTTTTTTTCCCAAATATCTCCGGGCAGGGATCTGAATGCTTTTGGACATATTTAAAAGCTGCGTATGTTGGGTTTGCAAAAAATACCTGTGGATTCTGCTTGGATTTGGTTTGGGTTTTTAAACATTTATTTTATTATTTCCTGCCTCACACCCACATGTGTCTTGTCCATAACAAGGGATTTATATTCCTGATCAATGAGTACAAGCATGTCATTTTTACAAAACATGCATCAAATGTACAGTAGGTCAATCCTGTTTTGACCACTGGCCATGCATACTGATTATCTGGGGTAACTATTACCCATCAGTCCCAGCAGCTGAGAGTCTGGAAAAGTGGTACATCACTGCTCAAAGCTGTAGTTTCCTCCTTAAATCAGGAGAAAAGGGATTGCAGCTTTTACTAGCAAGATAGATTAAAATTAATCCTCGAGCTAAGAGAAAATTCCTATATATATATCTATGTATGTATATATATATCAGTATATATTTTTACATAAAAATTTATATATATATATATGACATATATATATAGATATGTTTCTAGATGATGGTGTTTACCTCCTTCAAAAAGCTTTATGTTCTCAGAGAAGATTCCATAAGTAGAGATATATAGAAATGTTATACAAAATAGCAAGCTTATTCACAGTGACATCATACTATGAAATTGAATATCACTGTGTTGTTTTTACTTTTCATCTTTAGAAGTATCTGTGTTTGTTTTGCAGTATTTATGCTGTGGAATTAATGACATAAATAAAAAAAATTAGGTAGGAGATTACTAGACATACTTTGTGCTTCAGTTCATTAATATAGAAACCAGTAGTGTTTCTTAAGAAATTAGGTTTGTGTCCCTTGGAAGAAAGCAAAGAAAGCACTGGCATTGAGAATATATAGCAGCATTAAGTCAAATATGTGGTCTTTTTAATGGAACAAAGTCAGAAAAATTTTGCATCTGTTAATGTTGAAGAATCAAAAGTGCAAGTGCATTGCATTACAATGTATTTATTTTTAAGGGCAGCCTTCCTGGAGTAGCTTACTTAGTAGTGTGACGTTACTTAGATCCTTTGCCAGAGATAAATACTTACTCCTCAAGATTTGTTCAATTGCAATTGGAAGGTATCACTTTGCTCAGCACACCAGCTCTGAATTTATTTATAGCTGTGCCCAGATGCACCTGCAGGACCTGACACTGGAAACCAGATTGGGTGTGTGTAACAAGAAAACTTGTCCTCTAACACAGTGCAGGCTGGTGTAAACCCTGGTGCTGTGCAGTGGAGCGAGGTGTCACCCCCACCCCATAGGGAAGGGACTCTGCCCCTCTGCCCCACTCTGGTGAGGCCCCAGCACAGGAGGACCTGGAGCTGCTGAAGCCAGTCCAGAGGAGGCACCAGGATGAGCAGAGGGATGGACTACTCTGCTGCTAGGAAAGGGTGGGAGAATTGGGATTGCTCTGCCTGGAGAAGAAAAGCTTTGGGGTGAGATCATTGTGGCCTTCAGGTACCTGAAGGGAGTCTACGAGAAAGATGGAGAGAGACCCTTTACTGGGGTCCCTCTGGGGTGACAGAACAAGGGGGAATAGCTTCAGACTTAGAGAGTGGTTTAAAAATTCAGTTTAAATTAGATATTAGGGAGAAATTCCTTGCTCTGAGGAAGATGATGCCCTGGCAGAGGTTGCCCAGAAAAGCTGTGATTGCCCCTGGGTCCCTGGAAGTGTCCAAGGTCAGGCTGGATGAGGTTCTGAGCGACCTGGGACAGTGGAAGGTGTCCCTGCCCACGGCAGGGGGTTGGAATGAGGTGGTTTTTGTGGTTTCTTTGAACCCAGGCCATTGTGTGAAACACCAGCCTCTTCCCCTAGCTCTGTGTGCCAACTTGGGAATCTGTGTACCATGGTCACTGGCCTCATGTAGATGTGCCCAGCATGTTTCAAAAGACAACTGCACAACTTTTTAAAGCAGGGGTATCATTGCATGGGAAACAAACTCTTTGCATCTAAGATTACAGCCTGAATTAGTAAGGGAAGACATGAAAAGTGGGAAGGATATTTCTCAGTGTTTTTTCACAACTTCTATTTACCTGAAGAAAATGTTCATGTTCTCTATGTCCTTGGGGCACTTGCCCCTGTCCCAGTTCCAACATTTGCTGTCTCTCTCCTCAGGGAACCCTTGATGCCATGTGGTTCACCTGCTCTTCCCACATCTCCGTGTGCCTAAGGAGCTGGTCGTAGTAGTGGTCCCTACTCTTTCTGCTCTTCACTCCTTGTCTCATTTGTTTTTTATGCTTTTTCCAAATGAAAAAGTGACTGTTGCACTGTCCAGCTTCCCTCTTGCTCAACATTAGCAGCATTCTACCAGCACGTGTTCCTTTTCCCATATTAGAGCAACCAAACAGATACAACTTTGCTTTGTAGTGACAGTATTGGAAAAATCCAGCTTCCTAATCCTTCTGTATTGATCTTCTCTTGAGTAAGTTGATGGACTGGATTTTGGTTCCATTATATTCCTACATATCTTCCCAGACCTTTTTATCTGGGACTCTAACTCCATGGAGAGAGAAATTTGTTCCAAAAATCAAAGAGGCTGGTTGCTATAGGAGTGTGCATGTGTGTGTGTTCAGTGTGACAGAGCTGGCAAATAATTTCTGAAGAGACCATTACAGGAAAGGCCTTTTGATGGTGTATAGTACAAGAGGATACATAGTATTTTATATACCATAGTATTTTATACATGCAATATGTGCTGAATATGGTGTAAGTGAAAGAGACTACACTTTGATATATGAAAATCCCCTGTGAGTGTGTTTACCAGGTATGATCCCCACTGGATGTGCAAGGGATGTGTTAGACTCAAGTGACAAAGGTTTAAAAGATGGATAACAGCCAGCTAAATTTTAGCCTGTTGTCCAAGAGTGCTGGGGCATCGCTTTGGACACAATGAATGAAGAAATTCCACTTGCATAGCTGTGAACTGCTGGTAAGCTTATGCTGTAAAACATGAGATTTGGTACTAAGGTTGCATGACATTTAAACTCCAGAGGTGTGGTCAGTGGCAGAATAACATGAAATGCAGTATCAGCAACAATTTTCCACAGCTCCACGTTAAAGAATTATATTGAAATGCCACAGCGGTAAGTACTATGGGATGCCAAGTCCATGCTACCTGCTAGAACTGTCATTCTGTCCTTAAGGATGCAATGGCTTCTTTTCAAAGCACATCAAGTTCAGCAGAAGAACAGGAATTCATGGGGTGACTGCAGGACAGAATACTGACCAAAGTGTTTGTCAATAGCTCTTGAAAAAAAGAGCTGGCAGAGGATTCCTGAGAGTCTCCTTCAGCCTGAGCCAGTGAACCAATTCATGCTTATTCCAAACAATTCAGACCATGACAAGAGCTTCAAAGAACAGTCTGAAGACTAACAATTACACTGAACCTGAAGAATTTAGCACTTAGATACATTACAAAGATTAAACTTACTTCTGTATCCAGAGATTTGACCGTGTATCTCTCAAGGGGAAGATATTGGTCACAGTGTCTTTGCAGCCAAGAACAAAATAGTAATTCAAACTAAAAGAAAACAAAACAAAACAAAAATTAGTTACATTCATATTTAATAATGCATTATTTTGGACATTTAAATCTGAAATCTGCTTTTATATTAATTTATTTTTCTCCAAATTCAGACTTGTACTTTAAGATTTTACTGTTCATTAACAGTAAAACAGTTTAACATTTAACTTTTTTTTTTCAGTTTAATTTTACTTTAGTTGTTTGGGGGAAAGATGCAGAGGTAAACAGAGATTCTGCAAAACAAAGTTGTGCATCTGCTCTTGAATCCCTTGCCTAGGAGATGTAATGGATACTAAGGCACCGTATCCAGTATTTTAAGGAGTTGGTCACATTATACAGCACATCTGAAAAATGGCTGTGTCACTATTTACATTGTTCAGAACAAAGGAGTATTCAGAAAATGTCATGGATGATTAAAACAGGAAAAAATGAAATCCATTCCCCATACTGACACTTATTTTCCTTGTGTTCTCACACAAGTTTCATCTTGCAGGCTGTTTAAGCACATGTTTTCTGGGTGACTCACCTCACCCCAGTGGCAGGCTCCAAGACATACCAGGAGTACATATCCAATGCACACAAGTGTTTCCAGAAACAAAGGCCTTCCATTTTACGTGCCTCATTTCCCATGTCCTCAACATCAGGAGGATATAATTATTAATTCTGTGGGTCTGAGAGGACACATGATTGTTTGAGAAGTCACAGAGACAGTAAAATACCAGTACACAAGGTACAAGTGCAGCTGAAAATCTGAATTTGAACTCTGAAACAAAAAAACACTTTTTTATAAGCAAATAAATAAAGCTGTCTGCTAGAAGAAAAAGAACATCAGAAAAAAAATGTATACAACAGGCTTTTAAGATATTTCAATCAGCATTTATCTAAAATGTAGGCCATCCTTAAACTCAGCTATAAGTAAAATTAATTGTGTGTCCCATAGAATTCTTGGTTGGTTTGATTCTCAAGTTGATTTGTTAGGTGTACGACAACTGCACTGGTCTTATTTGGTTTGTTGGTTATGGTGGACACACAAGTGTGATGGTTGTATCTAACTCTGACAGAAATGTTCTTTGTCACATAAAGTAGGTGCAAGCTGAATGAAGCAAAAAACAGGTTCACCCCACCTTATTCCATAAAAAAAATTAGTCTTCTGAGTGTTACAGTGTTTGGGAAGTTTTTTTTTGTTGTTGTTGTTTTTTTGCTTACTTTTCAAGTGTTTATAATTTCTGTGTGATGTGACATCTTTGCAATCCATATAGTTGTAGATTTACCATAAAAAGGAAACCAAATTTTTCAGTCAGTGGAGATAAATCTTACCTATATACCAAAATATCTCTCTGTCCATAATGGAAAAAGAGGATTTCTTTTCTTTGTAGAAGTATTTTACCAGACCCTGGTGCTAGTCCATGGCAGGAAAACAAAGGCTTGAGCAACTTCCTTTCTCTCTTTCCTCATGCACTGAAACTTCTCCCTGAAAGTGTGGTTCTCTTCCACTGGGTCCCTTTCATTTTTGAATGAAGTAGAATGGAAATGAAGATTATCTATGATAAATTTCAATTTATCATACAATGGTTTGTGTTGGAAGGGTGCTTAATGATCTTATATTTCCAACCCCTGCCATGGGCAGGGATGCCACACACTGGACCAGATTACTCAGAGTCTCATCCAGCCTGGCCTTGAACACTTCCACATTCTAACTAATATATTGTTGCAGCATTATTCCCTGTGAATGCACTCTCTGAAGGTCTTTGAGTGCTGCATTAGGATGAACTCCATCCTCTACTTGAAGTCTTTGGGAAGTCCCTTCCTTCCTGGTCCCTCATGACAATTTTCAAAACAGTGGGGTTTGTGTAACCTTTAGCTAGACCATTAAAATGCACCCAAAAATCCTGGACCTTTTGGAAAGAAAATCACTTTATTTGTGACTGATTTTTCTTTGCCTTATCAAGCCCAAATGAGTACCTCATACATGCTTATTGCTCCTAGGCATGCATAAAATCTACAAGAACAAATGCAGAGTGCCTACCATTTTTATGTATACTGGCTTGGGCTCTGTCAGCTGCTCATTTGCACAGTTACCTGTCTGAGGCTGGCAGGTTTCTGGGAGAGATAAAATGAATAACCTGGCAGTTGTGCTCCTATGTCACACAGTAGCTCCAAATTCTGCTGGTTGGGCCTCTTTATGAACAGAGTAATCCTGACAGTATAGCTAGGGGTTAAAGGGTGAGTGGGTCAGTTTTGTGGAGTTGGGATCGGTTTTGGGGAAAAGGAGAAGGAGAATTAGTCAGGGACACCTCTTCTTCATCACACAGCTCACAGAGATTAAATGTTCTGTGTCACAGCTGTAGATAGGGTGGGATTTGAGGCATGGCACAGCACAGAGCCAGGAGCAGCTGCTGTCATTTTTAGTGGCAGTTCCAGAGCAAACTAAATTAATAACCTGTAATGGTAAGGGCTTCTTTATGAAATTCATCCTTTTGAAATTTATGGGCTGCATAGATAAGGCAGCGGGCGAGATTAATGTAGTATAATGTATACATGAAACACATGAGCTGGATAAAACACATCTTATAGTTGCAACATAGGTAAATAATTTAATATAGAGTATATAATTGTATATATAAGGGAACATATGAACCAAAAATTTAGCTTGGCTTAAAGCATATGGGAAATTGGTGGTAGAGCTGGAAATTGGACCACTTGTGTTAGTCAGAAGATTATTCAGCAAAACCTGAAGGAAGGTTTATTTCTGTATTAGCTTTCATTTTTTTCAGGCAGCATTGCCCTTCTAAATATATCCCTTCAAAAGACAGACCTTTTAAGAATGTCTGCAGATCTGGACTCCCTCAGATTAACTAAGGGCACACATTTCAAAGGGAAGTGGTGTTCATGGGAATTCTCTGCCAGCCACCTAGATCTCAGCTGCAGAAGTAAAGGATAAGTAGTAAAGGAGTTTAAATTTCCTTGAGCCGCCTTCTGTTGTGCTTCAGCTTTGATCTGCCAGGATTACCTTGAGAGGTGAGCAAAGTAGTTAATTTTCCACTTTCACTTGACACTTCCCTTTTCTCTAGGGGCTGCTGAGTTAGTGCCCACTGCCTGCCCAGGTGAACTGAATGCAGCACCAAAACTGGCATTTTCTGGGTGCTGCCTGACTTCACAGACTGTCAGACAAGGGATCCAAGGATTTTTCTTGGCTTCAGCGTAGCTGCCATACAGCTACCACCAGAGGGGTGGGCTTTCTACTCTGGTCACCTACAATGACACCACCTTTACTTTGTCTTTTCTCTGTGGTCCTACAAGAAGTCTCTTGAGCTCCCAGGGAACATTCTTTACATAGTTTTACAAGTTATCTTTCTCCAGCTCTAGATTAAAAACATTCTTTGTGGGGATGACTACAAAAAGATTTAACTCGGCTTAGGTGACTTCTGCTTTGTTTATAAAGCTAAATATGTTGCCTCCTCGTGTTGTTCTACTCCTTCGTCTTTTGTCTTTGGAGTTATATTTAGGCTTTTGTTTTATTATTAATTAGATACCATCCTTTTGTTCTGCTCTTATCACACCTCAAACAATAGATTCTCAGCCACAGCCAAGGCTTCTGTCTTCTTCAGTAACAAAAATATTTGGCAACAGAGCACAATGTGTGTTTTAAAACAACCATCACATGGAAGCTCTCATGTCCTTGCAATGTTGTCAGCTGTTGCAAAGGACAGAACAGCAGATGGCAAAATGGGCTAGGAAAAATGACTAAGCATGACTTGAGCTGCACTAGGAGGAACAGGAATCAGAATTAATGATGCCCTCCACTCCAGGATCCAGCTTTTTGAAGACTTTTGGCACTGTTATTCTGGTTGTGCCTTGGCACTGGATGAGGCTGGTGCTTGTGCTGTGGCTTTCCTGGAAGGAGGGAAGCAGTGCTAGGGCATGATGGCCACGGTGTATGAGCCCTGGCACCTCACTCTCAGAGCTGCCTTGCTCTGCTTTAACCCTCAGCTACAGTGTCCTGTGACAGGGACCATGTACTAGTCTTGTACACCACTTATCTACATCAAACAGCTCACAGGTACCTGCAGACCCACGTGGTCTTGAGCTACAGTGTTTGTTTCCCCTGTGGCAGGAAGCAGAAACCTCTGTGACCAGAAGCAGAAACACTGATCTAAACTGTTTAGATGGTCACAACTATCCTTGAACTGATCAAAGTACTGGTGGTAACCCTCAGGACTCACAACATGCTTTATCTCTCGTGGCAATCTGTGTTCAGTGCAGGGACAATCGTACATCAGGCATGCAAAAAGCCAAGTACAGCTGCTTCCCTGGGCCCAGCCAGACCTGCCACCATGGCCTGTGCATGGGGCTAGCTGCTTCTGTCCACTCTGCTCCCAAGACACCAAGGGCAGATAAAACAGCATCATGGCGATTTCTAGGAAATGCAATGAGTCAGTTCCTGTTAATGATGAGAGCCCTGTGAGTCAGATCATTAGCACTGATTTCCATTGCTCTTGCTGTTGTTGGGCTTTTTGTTTGTTTTAAGAAAGGGGATATTTTCATTTTACATCTGTTTTTGCTCTGCAACCACTTACATGAGGGAACAGGTATTACCTGGTAATTGATCTCTCTTTGCCCATCCTTCCCCAGGAACTTTTGTGCTCATCATCAAGAAAGGCAGTGTATTCAAAGTTGCTAAGTCCCTGCAATGTTAATGAAAACTTCTATCTGGTTAGAGGAAAAAGCCCCTGTTAGTGCTGTGGTGAGAGACGTGCCATAAAGGCAACTCACTCTGTGAGTCACCAGAGAATCCACACCTCTAGATGGCAGGAAAAGCTTCGGAGTTTGCATGTTATATTAGACCTCAAACAGAGACACATCTATTAGAAACTAAAAATAATCCTCGCCGTTGCTCCCAAGAAAACGGATTTTTAATTGTATAAAATCCATCCTTTAAAAGAAGCATTTGTATCTGGCTCTGTAGATTCATATGTTCCCCTCTCTTCAGAGGCATTAAGATTTAAGGTACTCATCAGTGGGAAATACATATAACCTCCCACAGGACTGCAGTCTCTCCTTCAGTACCAACATATTAAAACTAGACTTCTTAAGCATTCATATTAATTAGTCTGTAAGGAACCATTATCAAAATATGGTTTGAATACATAATTATGAGGGTGTGTTGTCTGGCAGGAAAATTAGGGTCTCATCCTGCCTTCTCCCAAGTAAATGGCAGCTTCATTTGTTTTTGTACAAGCAATAGTGAGCCCTGAGGCAGCTGAAATGGGAGAAAATTTTCCCTTTCCTTCCTCCCTGGAAGCACTGTCTCACCCTTGCTAAGAAAGCACTTTACCCCTCCTGGGAGGGGAGATAGAAAGCACAGTGTTTGGCCGCTATTATCAATATTCACGCCCAGCTGCAATTCACAGGCCTTATTCCCTGCTGAAATGTGCCATTAGCTGCAGCAGGGCACAGCCCAGAGTGGGACAGACCCCGGGTAGTGCCAGGAAGGAATTCCTGGCTGTCCTCTAGGTGCATCTACTCTCCTGCCACAGGAGAGGACAGCCTGGTTCTTCTTGTGTCAGGGCGGTTTATCTGCTGGTCCTGGTCCTGGGAGAAGGGCTAGCAAAATGTCCTGCATGTGATGCAGTAGTTCAAATTTTGCCATTTCACTGAGTTGATAGGCAAA